TTGTCGTCGTAATATTATCATAACCCGACAAGCACTACTAAGGCCCTGGCAGTTGCCCACCTCATAGCCTATATATATAGTGTAAGCAGTTACATATACAGACATGTGCACACAGCACACATATCACAGCATCGTGTTACACTTGTGATTCTAACAAGTAAAACTGGACCCTAGAGTAACAAACCTACTTCCCCCCTTAGGATCCATACCTATGACATCCCCCCTAAATACCCCACTGTGCTTTGTAGAACCATAGGATTGTATTCCCCCAGAGAGCCTAAGGTAGGTGATTGTCAATACAATTCTGTAAGTGTAGATTTTACATATAAGAGTCTGTAACATTGGGGGATTGGGGTGCCATACAAAGATCTTTAACCACCATCCCCAGCTCTCAAGGCAGGGCTCTGTGTCCTATATATAAATACTCTTGAGCTTGTATGGTAGTACACATGTCATGTATTATATGTTCCTCTCTAACGTTAGCCCCTTGCTTAGCTGCCATGCGTCATATGTCCCCTACTATTTCTGCAACTTAGTTGCACAGAAACCATAAGAGTAGAATAAGGGCCCAATATTCTCCCAGTAGAAAGAGGTGGGTCAGAGGTGTCAACAATTAATGATGCATACACTTCAGACCACTAGGCAGCCATATGCGGTGAGGTTGGCACACGCCTCCCAAACTCTAGGACTATCCTTTCCCCCAATACCCAACACACACACACACACTGTAACAGCACTTGCACATGCGCGTAAGAGTTAATTTACATGGTGGTTGTATGAGCATCTACCTCTGTGGCAAGTGCATCTAGCATGCAAATCTCTGATATCATGGTGTAGCAAAATATAACGTAGAGTACAGTTTGTATACCAACTACGCTGACATACAAAAATAAGCAACAACACAGTATTTAAAAGTGGTAAATAGGAGGAACAGTAAGTCTGGTATGTAGTATAGTAAAGAGATAAGCTACAGTGTTAAGTAGAGTGTTCTTTCCTTTAAATATTGTAGCTACTCCTGTAGAAAGACAAGTTGCTGATAACCTATATGTAGTAGCTATAGAACTAGGCTACAGTGTTAGAAGAAGCAGAGTCGAGAGACGTAGTTTAAACTTTGTACTGCTGTAGAAGTTTGACTATTTGCTGATGACCTTCAGCTCTTGCGAAACTCATGGCTGTACGTCCATCCTGAGAGGTGAGGGAAAATTACACTCATTGACTAAATGAGAGACAGTCACACATTATTGCAGCACTAAACCCTCGATGCAAATGGGTGCTGACGTCAGCAGTCTAGCCTGCAGTAGGTGCACTCTACACATGTGCCGAGAGACAGCACTGCTAATTGATGGGCGTGGCCATGCTGGGTAGGCACACAGCAGAGTCACACACAACCACATGACAATCCCTCTAATATTATGTTCAGCACTCAAACAAAGATGTGACTATTAAAGTTGGTATAGCCTCTTTACCTTATAAGGTAGATCTTTAGCTCCAGATTCTAGCAGGAGTCTAACTACTTCCAGGTGCCCTTTGTAACTGGCCATAATGAGTGGAGTTGCTCCATCCTAAAGAGAGGAAGATAGAAAACATTAAACATCCATCTCCATAATACACCATACAAAGAAATGACACGTGACAGTGCACATGATGGGGCACAAAGATCTGCTCATGGTGACAGGTGGAGCAGTGAGTTGGTGTAGTGACTCCAGTTCTGGCTCTCTGACTGATTAACGAAACAGTTCAGATGTTGCAGGAAATTGAGAGGTTTCAGCCAATGAAGTGCTACCCTGTTGGTATCTTAATTATGTCTCAGAGAGTCTGCATAATATATCAATTTTCAGCCTGTAATTACAGCCGGAGGGACCCATAGAAACGGCTCATTCTAGTACAGTAAATCTATGTCCTGTCTCCCCTGTAGGAGGATACAAGCTCTCCGGCCGAAATAGCGACGTCGACCTCACGTTTTTGCTGGACACAGGGGCAGCGGTCACCCTGCTCCGGAAAGAAGCATGGGAGAGGATCCTCAAAAACTCCCCCATCAAGGCTCCCGACCTGATACCCAACCAAAGTTGGAGTTGGTGGTTGCAGACGGCTCCGTTCTCAAGACCCACGGCACCGCTTTGCTGACCCTACAGCTCAACGGAAACGACATACCCGTAGATGTGGCTATTGTTAGTCCTTTCACCACAGAAAGAATACTAGGGCTGGACTTCCTTGAGGGCCAGAGAGCCTCCACCAAACTAAAAACTGAGGAGTTACTCTTACGGGCTGAGGAAATTACTTTTGCAACAATCTACCCAGTTACCAACTTGTACGGTGAAGATTAAAGCGAAGGTACAAAGGAATATTTCAGTTCCAGCCTACAGGGAGCTAGAGGTGATGGCCAATCTGGAGGATCCAGTAGCGCCAGGCCAAACTTGGGCACTCGAAAATAATCTCCAGAAGCCTGTCGGTGTGATTGCAGCCAGTGCCCTGGTCTGCCCCATTTCAGAAGAGGTCCCAGTGAGAATCATCAATACCACATCTGAACCTGCACTTATCTACGCTGGTAAACAAGTGGCAATCCTGGAACACACCGAACCAGGATTTGTGTACCCAGTGGAGTTTCGCCCGGCTGATCACGACAACCAGGAGGTCAGTGAGACAGCGTGGCTGGTGGTCAAAGTCATGTAGCTTATGTAGTCCGTCAGGTTACACATGTAACACTGAATTTCTACTGACAGATGGAAGCCATCTCAGAGCAACACATGATATTACCAACAGTGCAAGCATTGACTAATACTGAAGATGTGTAAATGTTTCTTTTTAGTGTAAAGGATTATAACTACAGTTTGGAGGCATTTTGTACGCGGATCACGTGAGAGTGCAATCCCTATATTAGACTGTCTACTGACATTCTGACAAGGATTATCAGTCAAAAGTTGGCTATATTATGTCCCACAAGAAAAGTGTGCCTAAAAAGGATGTGGTACTTGTATCAACATTATAAAAAAGACACTTGCTGGGCTCAGGTGAACGCAAATAGACTAAAGTGCTATGTATATGCTCGGTGGGGAAGGATTTCTATTAGTCGTTTTTCATAGGAATAGTGTAAAGACAATAGCAATCCTCTGATTAACCAATCAGATATCAGAACTATAAAGCAAGGCTTTAAAAGACAACGAGAGTAACACAAACATGTACGTAATTTGTTGCCTTGTTCACCACCCACACACAACACTCTGACTGACCTTTGACCCCCTAGTTTTAAAGGGCAGAAGTTACTTGCAATAATTTTTGGAAACCAGAAGAGAGAGAATAGAGGAGAGGCTCTCTAATTGGCTGAAGTTCTCATACCTTGTTCTGGTAGTTGATGACAGCTCCAGCTGATATCAGTTTCTCCACAATCTCTGTGTGACCATCTTCAGCAGCTATCCCCAGAGGAGATGAGAGAAGATCAACCTTCACAAAGAAAACAGGAATCATTGTGAGTAAACCAGTCACTCACAAAGAGTACGGTTAAATTGGCTTTTGGATATAATTATATTGACATAATAAAGCTACTTGTGGCACTGTTCGCCTTACATCAAGTGAACGCTAGAGTTACTGGTGCATGCAGAAACGTAGGTGCATGCGTGAGTTTAGAATTATGTCGGACATTATAATAACTAGGATCCCTTGCATGGTCCTAGGACTGCCAATGGCCTGACAATGTGGTGACTAGATCACTGGGCATAATGCAGTGTTGCAGCCGGACATGAACTGTGCAGTTTCTGTACACAACTGTTAGACTCCTACGCTACCATATATACCCTGTCCAGTGTTCTCTTTGCACAATGCAGTGATCACATGCTGCCTTGAAGGGCTCTGTAAGTTACGTATGAATACATAAAACCCTCGTTCCTCGACTCACTCTACAAAAGCGAGGATACTTTCATATGAAGGTATTAGACCATGTGATGCCAAGAGAAAAAAGATGCGGAGCTCTGGACAGCTGTTTCGCAGCAGAGCATCTACCGCAACTTCTCTCTCTGGCATCACGAGTTTATAAAGGATACCAGGAGAGCAGCACTTGTGGTTCTGAACTAATGAGATTCATCCCCACAAGGCTTTGTCACTGGTATGTGCTGCTGACCATGGCCAGACATTCGTGGTTTGGAGCCTAGGACCCTCCCCACTCCTGCTGGTCAAGGCCAGCACCGAGCCAAAACCCGAACTCGCAATCGCATATAACCAGGTCTCTTGACAATGCCCCACTCCAAGGGAGGAGGTGTGTGGGGCATTGTCACCTGAATACTCTTTGCAAGGGAGGGGTATGTTGCTGTCAACGGAGTCTAGGTCACTTACAATCGTACTACTCTTAATATCCTGGCTCCCCTCACTTTACAGAGGGAGACTGGGTACAACACTACCTCTCCCCCGTGCTCTGTGTGTCCACGACCTAAATCCCACTGCCATGTACTTTCTGACACACAAAGAAAATTGTATCAAAACCTTGAAAATTTGCCCCTACGAAGGTATATTGCTGGCATCATCTATACATGGAAGACCTTCATTGACAGCATACTGCTGTGTCGACAGTGTCCAAGTAACTTCGAATCAAAATTTGTGTGATTTTGTTGCATTTTATTCTTTCCCTGAGAAGTAGAATTAATCTAGTCTAAGTTGTGAAAGCTTTTGTCCCTAAGTCTTTACCAAAAAACGTTCCTTATAAAATTTGTACAGGTCCTTCAAAAAGACGGTGCCAGCCGTAGTGAATGCAGCTTGGCTTGGATGCAGACTTAAAATCTGCAAAGTACACATGACGATGGATGTTGTTCTCCTTGGCTAGGGCAACGCATCGCTCTAGCAGCAGTAAGCAGAAAGAAAACAAAGAGTGAATATTTAATGAGATGCACAGGAAGTACAGTACTCACACCTACAGAACTACTTCTGCTGGAAATAAAAAATTACCTATATTATAATACATTTCTGGTTCTGTTGGCGACCTGACCAATACTGAAAGGCAACACAGGAGCCCATATTCACCTTTCATGGAACGTCTGATGCTTTCATGGTGAATGATACGGCAGAGTCTAGTCAAGGCAGCTCCTTGTAACGAGTGTTTACTTGCTATTGTGCCATAACAGTTGCGTGGTCAATGGCTAATTGGAGTTAGCCATCTGTAGTGGTAAATCTGTTGGTATCACTTTCAGTCCCACATGCCAGACCAAGTAAATAAAAAATTCTTTGACTTAAAGAAATGGTGAACATAGGGACGGTAAAGAAAGCAGGGAGACAAGACAGGGATGACCTAGTGAATGTGACGCAGTAGGACAACGGATGATGATGACTACATACTTCTAACTGACATCGCTTGCTCGTGTAAAATTTCCTCCATACAAGCCCTATATTGTCATTGTGCTCCCTTGTACGATGCAGAGCCATGATTTATTTCATAGGGACATTAGACAGGTAATGCCCTCTCCTCAGTTTTCATTTGTGACTGCATTGTGTGAAGTCTAAGACTTCTACATTCACTCAACTAACCAGTTTTACAATGCTGCGTTCTTAGCCATCTACAGAATCCCTTCACCATTGTCCTCACACTTTACACCATTTACTAATGTCAGTGAGTAAAGGTGGCGACATAATAGGGCTGTGTACATGTGTCACTCGTGGCCCCCGTGTTGCACATTGTGGGGTAACAGAGAGAAGGAGATACATACACACACTCCAGACATAGTACAATAACCCTCTCTGTCCATGTGCACAAAGGGTTAATTAAACTCACTGTGCTGGTCAGATTAACATTTGCTCCATTCTTCAACAGAACATCAACTGTCTGCTTGTGTCCATTCTGACAGGCCACATAGAGTGGAGTACAACCATTCTGAGTATAGGAGAAAGTGTGACAGAGAGATATACAGGAGAAAGTCAAATGTGCCATAATTGTGCAGAGAGATATCAAGAGAGTGCAGTCATAGAAACCCTCATACAAGAGAAATACAAGCATGTTCATAACAATACAAAATATAATTTGGTTGTCCCTCCATTTTGTCCTGTTTCTAACAGATTATGGGTTGTTGCCATGCAAGTCCCGTACCTACGTAGCACCACACACTCACACATATGGAAATCATTGCTGGAATTATGTGTTAATAGGAAAAATATTCTTTAGGGTCCAACCAGATGGGTACAACATTGCCAAGACCAGCCATGGCATCACTAAACAGCAGTAGTACATCCAAAGTTAAAACCAGTGTGTACATAGGAATGCCAAAGATGATATCTGTACAATGAGTCATTACATACCACAGTCAACTACCCACCACCATTTTTACTTCACAGACCCACATTAACAACATTACTCTATGCTCATGGTACATAGAAATGCCAAGTAATGATCTGTGGTGAATAAGGGCACACACATAGGAATTCATAATAATGATCTCTAGTCAGATCTCCTGTCAATGAGGACACACACACCACAGTCAACTACCCATCTCTTACCACACACCATTATCACTTCACAGGCCCACATTAACTACAGAGTGTATGTGATGCAGTAGTACAATGGATGATGGCTACATACATCAAACTGACATTGCTCGCTCATGTATATTTTCCTCCACACAAGCCCTATATTGTCGCCACTTTTACTCACAACATGAAAACTGAACAGCTCACGCTATATACAAAGAAAGAAAAGAGAAAGAAAACAGGACTTCAGAAGGGCTACAATAAACATACATAATAACCATAAGGGCTTACTTGGGACTTGCAAAAACACGTGAGCTGATGCACGATGGCGGTGAAATGACTACAACAGACGGTACGGACACAGGCGGTATATATAAAAGTTATCAAAAGGTATCAAAATAATCTGCGACATATAAAAGGTTAAAAAAACATCCATAGGAACACGGCAGCACAAAAATACGAGGTAAAACAGTAGTGTAGGGCAGTACCATTAGACAGGTCAGCTAGCAAGACCTATAGGCATAGAAGGGTGCTCTGGCCTTGAGAACCAGGAATGGTGGGTTAGAGTCTTTTATCACCGGTGAACTCTCCCCACTCACCCACGCCTTTCTCACAGTGGTACTGCCCACGGAGTAGTACAATCAACGAAAACACACCTCAATATTGACGACAGCACAGAAACGGAATGACAGAGAGAGACCAAGAGCAAGCAATATATAACGCAGGCCAACAGGAAGCAAAGCACAGTGAGATCCTTCCTCTAAAGGAATGTAGGGCCAGTCAGAATTTACAAACGATGTTGCCGTGTGGTTACGTGTCTGTACAAGGATGGTCGTCCAATATACAGGCCACATATGCCTTCATAAACATGTCTCTTCAGACCGACGTTGTATCTATCATTAGATGTTTATATTTCACATAAAATTTTTTGAAGCTGCCAACCAACTTATAACGGAAACCTTGTTTTATCAATCTTGTAGTAATCATCATA